ACCAGTAAAGATACAGCTCCATTTTTTTTTCCAGCGTTGATTCTGCTAGTATCAAATGTTACAGCTTGTATATTGTCTGCAAGGTTAAAGCTATTTAAGATATCTCTGATTGCATTTTTTTGATTTTCGCCAGTTCCAGAAGAAATAGGTGGAATTCCCAACAGGTGCGTTTCCTTGTTAGCGTTTATTAATATTGCTAATCGATCTTGTTCCAATTTTTTCCCATCAGTATATTCATGACATACTTTTCCATCAAAATGGAGTTGAACTAAAATGTTCTTATTGATTTTTCTTAAACTTCTTAAATCATCCTTGATCCTCTTTGATTCATCATGAATGACCTTATCTGCAGCGCGTAATGCTGTAGAGGTTGAAGATTTAAATTCAGCTACATTTCCACCCGATTTAGCGATTATACTATTAATCATGGAAGCATGCTGCCTATGACTTATTCCTTCCCCAACAGCAGTATCAGTAGTTCTCTTGAGAATATCTTTTGGAAGCATAACAGTATTAGTTTTTTTGACTTTTTTCTTTAACTCTGGATCTGGGTATGAAAAATCATCATTACCTTCATCTTTCTCCGATCCATTTGAGCTGAATTCACTCTCTGACATGGTTTCATGCAAATTTGATTTCCTTTTAATTTTGGATAAACTCCTGTTTACAGAGTAAAGGTACCTTGTATCGATTCCACCTATTCTAGTTTTTCTATCTCCTAATTGGTCTAATAAAAATGCAATATCTTCAGTCTTCTCTTGATCCTTTTGTTTCCTATCAGCTTTAATGATTGCAACCAGAGTATCGAGCTCAGGTGCAATCCAAAAGATACTTTTTATCTGAGTTAAAAACCTCCTCCTTTTTTCAATCTCTGATAAAGTTTGTCTTGCTTTGTTGTTTTTTTTAACAGTTTCCAGGTTCGGATCAGCTTCTCTATCTTTATCCTAAAAAATGTGATTTATAGGTTCGGTATATTTAAAAACACCTATTTCTGTTTATTAACTTATTTAACAGCAGACTCTAGTTATATTAATATTTTCCACTAATAAGTAATAATATATAAATAAAAAAAACATATACAGTCTGGTACCTACCTAATTGTTTGTAATTGTAAAATCTGAAATCCACCCTTCAACTAAGGTGTAATTAACTTTGAAAGAGTGCAGCAAATATGTTTTTCATTATGGCAGCTGATTTCAAAGTTTTTTGTCAATGGACAGTGGATAATTCTACTTTCTTTTTGTTTTGGGTACTTCTCCATCAAATGCAAGAAGTATTTCAAAACCTCTTGCTTGGTAGCAAACTTGTCTTTTGATAAGGATGACCTGGATTCCCTTACCAAAAAATGTGTGTCAACTTTTTTCTTACTTTTCCCTGACATGAATAAATCAATAGTAAATAGCTTTAATTAGTATATGGAGTAAGTATATCATAAGAGTAATCTATATTTATTTCCCGCGTTTTTAAATCAAAATTAAATATCGTTTTTGTTAAAAAGTAATTTGCATAACATGTTTAAGCAAATACGCAACATTTTTAAATTAACATGAAGCGCAACAATTGCATAACTTTGCGTTTTTGTAGATAAATTTACACAAATTATTTCAATAAAATAAAATTACCATGCATTTTAATTTTTTTATTCTAACTTAAAAAAAACTCTAGAAAAAAAAAAAATTTTTTGAGTTTTAGTACTTGCTCAAACGTGCAAAAAATGGGCTTAAAAAAGGGTAAAAAAGCCTAAAATATGACTTTTGAGGCACTTGAGCAACCCCTAAAAGTGGTCAAAATTTAAAAAAAAAAAAATTCTACTAATAAAATAAGGGTTAACGCAGCAGATAACACTCCATGGTACTTAGAATTTTTTCATGACCTCAAAATGAAGCAGTCTAATATATATATATATATATATATATATATATATATATATGTATATATATATATATATATATATATATATATATATATATATATATATATATATATATATATATATGTATACATTTATATATATATATATATATATATATATATATATATATATATATATATATATATATATATATATATATATATATATATATATATTAAATGTAAACATTATGTATGAGAGTATGTAAATTATTATTTTATAAACATCAATAAATACGAATATCTCTCGATACTAAATTTGTTTTTATAAAGAAATTTTTTCTGGTAACAACAAGTCTTTTCATTTGTTATTTTATCAAATTTTTCCCTTGTTTTTGCTATATTTTTATAATCTTTTCCTTTGTTCTTCAAAAAATATTCTATAATCTTTTTATTTCCTTTCTCTCTTCCTTTTGTATTTCTTTTCTAAATTTTGTTTACATAATTATCATCACAATGAATGAATTATTTTTAAATAGGGTTTGGAAAAACTTGTATGCACAGATATTCGCTGATAAATTATGCACATACATTTGTATAACTATGCACATAATTATGCGAATAGCAATTTTTCTTTTTCAATTTATCAAAAACAAATTATTGAATTGTTTTGACTAGACAGACAAACAAAAAAAACAAATTTTAATTCTAGTTTTTATGAAATTTTAAATTAATGTGCTTTTGGAACAAAAAAATCATCAGTTTTAAATTAAAACTGACAACTTTTTTGATTCAAAAGCACTTTTATAATTAACAACTTTTAATTCCACTATTATTAGTGGAGTTAAATGTTATTAATTATAAAAGTGCTTAAATAAAAGAAATAAGTTAGTAAAACAATGAAAAACTGAAAGATTTATAGGTTAATTAGACTTTTTTCCTAACACAGCAAGACAATGGAAAATTTTAAAATAAACAAATATTTGCAAAATCTCAATACAGTAAAGAGAACTGGAACTTGCATCGCCTGCCAAAAGACAATCAAAAGGCAAAAGATCGGGCGGCAGCACTTGAACGAACATCATGTCCAAACGCTAGTGAAGATGAGAAACGATTTTTTGCAAAATGAAAAGCCAAATCATCAATTAACTTTAACAACAACATCTTAATCTCAGCTGAAACATACAATTTAGTCAACAATGTGACAAAGAACCAAAAAAAAAAAAAAAAAAAAAAGGTATGAAATTAGCAATAATGTTGTCAGGTTCACTTCTTGATAAAAAGTAAGCAGAATGCTCCGGCTAAATAGAAAGAAATTGTTGAATCATCTGGAAATTTTAAACTTGTCAGTGATGGTTGGACAAATATTGGTGGAGATCATATAGTGAACTTTCGTATCAAGGCATTGAATACAAAACTATTTTTGGAGCAGTTTTCAGCAAGTTTTTGTGTGAAGAAATTATAAATGAGCAAATGTAATACAAAAATAAATTTTTGTGATATAGAAAATCTTTTAGAAATCATGAAAATAATTTAAAACATTTACTAGTAAAATTAATTTAAAAAATGAATAATTATTTCTTTTAGTTTAAAGTCACCTGCATTTGATTTAAAAAATATTTTCTTTTATATTTGACAATATTTAATTAATTTAACATACCATTCATCTGTTTAATTTGTATGCGCATAATATGCATATTATGCACATAATTATACATACAACTTTTGTATTGTATGTGCATATGTTTGCTGATATGTGCATAAGTTATAAACTCTTTTTTTAAATGAATGTATAACTGTTTATTAGCATTTTCTATTAACAAATTATCAAGAAAAATGAAAGAAGTTAAATACAAAATAAAGAAAAGGAAAGAGACAAACAACATGTTCATTTTTAAAACATGCAGGATTAAATCTGTTAAGAAAAAAATCTAAAATAGTAAATTTATAAAAGCTCAAAAATGGATTTACACTGCACTTCCAAAATACAATGCAAATGAATAAGAAAAGTAAAAATAATTTAATTATCACCATTAAATTTAAACTTTATGAGCATGCAAAACATATTGAGATTTATCAAAAATATACACCCAAATGGAGTATTCAAAAAGCCATTGAATACAACAAAGTGATGCAATTGATTATGCCAATAGAAAATATAAACTATTCTATACAATCCTATGATTTTTAATTCAGAAATTCATTTTTAAAATTTTTAATAACAGAAAATAATTATTACTTGCAAAAACATAAATACAAATTAAAGAAATAAAACAAAATATCAAAAACATATAAAACATAAATGTATATAATATAAATATTTTATATAAAGAGAATTAGAATTCAAAATTAAATATATTTTATATACTTTTATGCCTTCAATTTTTATAGGAAAAAAAGATTTGTAGTGAATTTCAGGAAAAATTAAATTTAAAAACCTGAACTAAATTAAAGTTATTTCATTTGTAGATAATAACATTTCTACATTATTTTGAGGTAAAACATCAATTAATTTAGTTTGCAGTAATTTTATAAATTGTAGTACTTTAAAATTTTTTTATTTAACACAGGATATGAAACATCATAAAAGAGTTTTATGATGTTTCATATCCTGTTACACTTATTCATAAGGTATTTTATATTCAAAACAAGACCTGTATATGTGTATATAAATACATGTGAACAAAATAGACAGTTTGCAGGACACATAACTGTTGTTTAGCATAAGCAATTATTTTCTGTTATTAAAAATTTTTAATTTTTATGTTAAACAACAATTATGTGTGTCCTGCAAACTATCTATTTTGTACCCTCTTGAAAAAGTAAAGACTACATTAAATGTAAATTTATTAATATATTTGTAAGTGTAATTAAATGGTAATTACTTTGCTTGTGTAGACAAATGCCAAAATGCCAACAATTATTTCTAGAATAAATATAATTACAATCACCATAAAAAATGATGACATTGCATAAGAGTTTTCCTTAATTGCACCAAAACAGCCCAAAAATCCTATAATAAAAACAATGACACCAATAACAATAATAAACACTGGAGTAGTCATGAACTTGTTGTCAGCATATTTGAAGTAATCTCCATAATTATTTTTGATTATTCCACCAACAATTATTAAAGCCAATCCACTCAGCTAAAAAAAAATTGTGAAAGCAAAATAATTATAGCTGAATAACTCTTCAAAACTACATTAAAAGTGCTATTTCATTTATAAAGCAAAAAATGCCTCTTTAAAAAGATGTTGCAACTTTTCATTTGCAATCAGCAATGCAGTATTGCATTACAAAATGGTAAAAAGAAAAAATTAACCTCATGTAAAAATATATACTGAAGTGCGTACATGCTGTTCATATAGTTTCACATCTTGTAAAACAAATGAAATTGAGTTATTACACATTTATCTATGTTTTGATTACTTTTTGGTGAATGTCAATAAAAAAAAAGATTTTATATCAATTTGGCCAGTTTCTTAACTTATCAATGCATTGCAACTAAAAGTCTTATAAACAACTTTAACACTCTTAAACTGTAAACAGTTATGCTACTGCAGTGAATAGTTATGCTGCTGTGAACAGTTATGCTATTGCAGTGAATAGTTATGCTGCTGTGAATGCTGTGAACAGTTATGCTACTGCAGTAAATAGTTATGCTGCTGAGAATGTTGTGAACAGTGAATGCAGTGAACAGTTATGCTACTGCAGTAAATAGTTATGCTGCTGTGAATACTGTGAACAGTGAATGCAGTGAACAGTTATGCTACTGCAGTGAACAGTTATGCTGCTGTGAATGTTGTGAACAGTGAATGTAGTGAACATTTATGCTAAAGTGAATAGTTATGCTCAAAAATTTATGTTGCTTTGAATGCAGTAAACAGTGAATGCTGTGAACAGTTATGCTGCTTCAATTGTGGCTAAATAAAACTCTAATTTATCAATGCATTGTAACTCAAATTTCTTTTAATGAAAAAAATTGAAGCTTTAATTTTTTAAACTATGCACGACTATGTTGCTGCTATGGTAACAGCTACATTGTTGCTATTATTTTTTTATAAAAATAACTCAAAATATTTTTTAATCTCAAATATTAAACTGTGCTTTTTTTTTTAGTTTTAAAAAGTCCTCTAAAGTGATAGCAGTGTATTGGTTTGTTTGCTTCATAGACAAGAGACTTGGAGTTCCAGCCTGACACACTTTTACCACACTTAATTTATTTCTCTGTAAAGCAGCTTTGTTTGCTAAGTTTAGTGTTTAGGAGTTAAAAGAGGGATATAACAATTTAAAAAAGAAATGAACAGCCTAATTAACTATAGTGTCCCCCAGAGCCTTTAAAGTATGAAAATATTTAAATATGTTTAATTTACTCTCTAGTTAAAAGTCATTATTTTCTATTGAATATTTTATAAAAAGTTGTTGAAATTTTTAATTAAAAAACAAAAATAATTTTTTTTTTCCAAAAGTTTTGTTTATTATATTAAACAGCAAAAATGGTAATTACTAAAAAATTTTGAAAAAAAATACTTTTAAAACAAGAAATTTATTAAACTTTTTTTTTTTAAACAAAATAAATAAGTTAATTAAAAAATTAGGAATATAGAATGTTAATATAAATCTGTTTTTAATTTTAAAAACAAAATCTGGTTTGGGAGGATATGAGAACTTTCAAGAAACTAATTCTCCTTAATGATTAGTTCTTTTTCATAGTTTTTTTTTTTAAGTACAGTATTGTGCAATTTTCAGACAAAGTTCAGACAGTGGCAAAATTGGAATAATCTTCACAATATGCCCAACTTTTAGCTATGATACTAAAGATTCTCTTGTTTTTTCAGATAAGTATTTTACTGTAGTCTAGCAACTCTTTGCTGCCGGGAAGACATTCTAGCAAATGCATCAGTGGCTTCAGTGCTACTCCAGGCTTTGTACAGAAAGGTTGTGACAAATTATTCACCTCGTATTCACAATGGATATCACTCCCAAGAAACGTGCAAGCATTATAGCTCTTAAAGAACATGCTGGTTTGAGCATTAAACAGTTTTCTAAGAAAATGAAGGTGGCTAAGTCAACTGTTGGTTACATCTTGAAAAGAAAAAAAGACACTGGTGAATCTTCAACACTGCGACAAGGAAGATGTGGAAGAAAACGCAAGACAACACCTCGCGATGATACAGTTATCATCAGAAAAAGTATAAAGGATCCTAAGAAAACAAGTGCAGACCTTCAGAGAGATTTGTCCACATCAGGCGCAAATATTTCTTCTTCAACTGTCTGACGAAGGCTCCTTGAAGTTGGCTGATTTGCCAGAAATCGCATTTTTTTTAAATCAATTTTTTAAGAGTTTTTTATTTTTAACTTATCCGTTTATCCATGTTTTTTAAAAACTGTTAAATATACATCAAAGAATACTATTATGAAGATTTTTGTACTTAGGCATGATTTTATCAAAGGATTATTGTTTTTAAAAACACTAAAAGCACACAGGTGTTATATTGGAAGCAAAATAATTATTGGCACAAAAATTTTATTTAGTATTTTTTGAATTTTTGTGGAAAAAAAAATAAAATTTTGGTAAGTTTAAGTCTAAAATTATATTTACATATACAACTTATAAAATATTTACATATGTAACACATAAAATATATATGTAACCCATGAGTTTTGATTAATTGAATAAAATTAATTAATTTATAGCAAAATGCGCTTTGTTAAAAAAAATTGGACAGTTTTTAATAGAAAATTAGTTGTGGATTTGGTAAATAATAGTAAGACCTACAGAGAAATTAATAAGCAGACTAGAATTATTTTTCAAACAGTCAGCAACATAAAAAAGTATAATTTGAATTGTATAGATATACATCTGCTGCCATTAATAAAAACATTATTTTACAAGTCAAGCAAAACAGATTTGAAGCAGCTAAAAAGATTGCAGACAAAGTTAAAAACAACAATAAAATCATGATTTCAGCTCAAACTATCCAAAATAGTAATAGAGAGCAAGGATTTCATGGTAGAGTATGTCACAAAAAACCCTATCTGACTCTAAGACATGAAGAAAAGATTATTATTCAAAAGCAAAGATTTAATGGCAGAATATGTTGCAAAAAACTCTATTTGATTCTAAGACATATAAAACAAAAATTATTATTTGCAAAAATGTATGTTGACAAGACTATTGAGTACTGGAAGAAGTAATTTTGAGTGATGAATTCTAATTTAACCTATCTCATGGAATGGACAGCAGCAAGTTTGGCAAAAACAAGGCAAGGCATACAAATTGAGTTGCATGTGAGTAAAACACGGTGATGAAAATATCATGGTGTGTGGATCAATGGCATTGCAAAGAGCTGTCAAATTGACCTTCATTGAATCAACAATGAACACGAATTTGTATATACACATTTTAAAGCAAAATTTGAAGCCATCTGCTCGTAAATTTAGACTTGGAAATATCTTCGTCTTTCAACAAGACAATGACCCAAAACATTCTGCCATAATAACAAAGGAATGTTTACAAAAGAATATGTGATGGAATGGCCTGCCCAGTCCCCTGACTCCGATTGAGCATTTGTGGTACATTCTGGACCAGAAAATTGAAGATTTCATTCTAGACCAGAAAATTGGAGACAAAATGATCTAAAAACAGCCATAGTTAAAGCATGAGAGAAAATAACTCCAGAAGAAACCAAATTTGTAGTGGGATCCATGCCTCAGCATCTGCAAGCAGTTATACTGGCAAAAGGTGGCCTAACTAAATATTGAAAAGTAATTTTTGTCTTAATTTGGAAATTTTTCTTATTTGCGCCATTAATTTTTTTGTGAGAAAATATTTTATGAGTATAAGTACAGTTGATTTTTCAAAGTCATATGAACTTACATTTGATAATTTTTAAATATAGTGCTTCAATATAATACTATTTTCAAATAATTAATGGTTTTTTCTCTTAAAAACAAAAACTAACTACCGTTTTTTATTTTAACCATTTTATACAAATTAAAAAAAAAAAGTTTGTGCCATTTATTTTTTTGCCTACTGTGTGTATATATATATATATATATATATATATATATATATATATATATATATATATATATATATATATATATATATATATATATATATATACATACATATATATATATATATATATATATATATATATATATATATATATATATATATATATATATACATATATATATATATATATATATACATATATATATATATATATACATATATATATATATATATATATATATAAATATATATATATATATATATATATATGTATATATATATATATATATATATATATATATATATATATATATATATATATATATATACGGGTTACCCATTCTTCTTCCTATAGCTTGTTGTTGGCCAGAGTAAATATCTAATGAATCTTGTTATAGTTATTCAGTTGAAACATACTGGAACCAATATTCAAAAAGTATTTAGCTATATCAATAACTAAACTGATGACATTTATCCCTATATATGTTTGCAAAATAAATATTTATGAGCTATGGTTAAATTTTTGGGTGTTTGATATTTTTTTAAAAAGAAATAAGGTTAGACACAATTGTATTAAACATTGATCTTTTTAAATATAAATATTTAAATATTATTTGTCATCTACTTTAGAAGAAAAAATTGTTTTCTTTGAGTTGAGCTTTTTAGGAATACGAGAAATTACTATATCCTGCATAAAGAAGGATTTGGCAATAAAAAGCCAATATTGAAGGTAGTTAACCTGTTGATCCAAAAATAAAAGTTTTACTTAGATTGACCTGCTAGCCTTTTGCTAGCAAATTAATTTATTTTTGATTTCAAACTTTACATATTTATCAACTATTATATGATATAGTATTTTAAATTTTAATATGTAAAATTACTATAAAATATTAAAAAATTACTATATAATATATAACTAAAGATATATCTTTAGTTATAACTTGTAAAACTTTTTTTCTTGATTCTTTGTTAAAAACATGATCAAAAGAAGAGATTTCTCTGATAGAAAAACATTTATATTTCTTTGAGAAGTTCCTAAGTCAAATATGTAACAATTAAGACAAGGTATTTGCAAAAATCAAGGATAAATCAACAATATTTTTTTTAATGCACTTTTATTTC